AAGTTACTTTGGGCTTATGCTGTTTTACAAAGAAAAATCTAGAAATGTTTCTAGATGTGCAAAGCTGGTGTAAACGTCACAGTATATTCAACTACAGCAAAGCCTAGCTTTACAAAGTATTGACTCAGCACACCTTTTTTTCTTGTTTAAATTTCTTTCCACTTTCTTTGTCAGTCGTACAAAGTGACTCAGCAGTTTGGGCATGACATCACCTCTTTTCCGGTTTAGATAAATGACTGCCATTGTATGTGTTTCAGCAAAGGCGACTATCACGTATGCAAATGTTAAGAGGGATGTGTGTTAGATGCAGACTCAAAATATGTGTAAATTACACTTTTGTCTGTTTTCCTCCCTTTTCCTTCGAACTTAGGCAAAAGATTTCTAGGTATCATCGATTTACGTACAAAATTGTTTCTAAAACCGCATTCTAGCTTGGCTGTACAGAGGGGACTTTTGTTTGTGTGTCAATGTGGAAGTTTTTCTTTGCAGGTATGGATGCATGTTCTTCAGAACATAACAGCCAACATATTTGCATCAAAAGTGGAGATTCTTATGTTTGCATGTGTCGCAAAGGATATTTGTTGAATATAGACAACAAAACATGCTCGCGTAAGGAAACTCGCAGCCACGCTTAGTATGCTTTGCTGGTGGCTATGCTGAGGTTTCACAGGGATATAGAGAGATAATTTTTGTGTGATAATGCTTAAAAAAAACAGAGTAAATCCCAAAAATTGCAAAAAAAAAAAAAAAAAAAAAGTTATGCTCCTCTTATTAAACTGGAATACGCCTACTGTTCCTTTTGATTATTGTTGCATTAAAGCTTTGCATCGCTTGTTTTAATTTCTTTGTCTGTTAGGCTAGAATTAATTGCAGCACTAGATATTTTTTTCATGCAAATTTGTCTTTCCAGGTTCTGATCCTTGTGCCCTTGGACACAATTGCCATCATATTTGTGAAAATAGTGATGCATCATATGTCTGCAAGTGTCGGGCGGGATACGTGTTAAATACAGACCAGAAAACGTGCTCACGTAAGACAAAACTATGATATTTTTGTCTCAAAAAGTTATTTGTGAGATGGAATATTGATTCTTACATTTAGTGCCAGGTATATATCGAAAACTGTCCTCCCTCTCACTGCTTTTCTCACTGTGTTTGGAGATGTTTGATCACGTGTGATTTCTCTTCAGGTTCTGATCCATGTTCTCATGGACATGATTGTCAGCACATCTGTGTAAACAGTGACGCTTCATACATGTGCAGATGTGAAGTAGGATATGTGCTGAATCCAGATAAAAAAACATGCTCACGTAAGATTTTTCTTTTCTGGATAAGCAGTTGTTCAATGCATCTCATCTGAGGCACACAGATGTAATAGCTTCTCATTTCAGGTTCAGGTACATGTGCAGGAGAACATGGCTGCCAACACATTTGTGTCAAAGCCGATGACTCGTTTGTATGTAAATGTAAAACAGGATATGTTTTGAATCCCGACGGGAAAACGTGCATACGTAAGAATCCACATTCCACTCTGCATAAAAATATGAACAATTGAAAATCGTCACAGCAGGACTGCTTCATGTGCAGCTTTTTATGGCAACATAAAATGCTCTCCAAAAGAAAAGAACTTCTGATATCAGGCGTCTCTGATTCCTTTTCTTTTCAGGCTCAGACGCATGTTCTCAGGGACATGACTGCCAGCATATATGTGTCAACAGTGGAAGCTCATATGTCTGCAAGTGTCGGCTGGGATATTCGCTCAACGTGGACAGAAAGACATGCTCACGTAAGCAAATTTATTTGTATTTTACTTAAAATCCAGCTTGATTTTTGTAGAACATTTCAGAAGTGTACATTTTCCAGGTTTCAAGTTGGAAAGGGATAAAAAAAAAATGGTGGCACTTATATAGATACTTAGGACGCATTAACCTCTTTTAATAAACATATTGCTAAAATGTTTGCAAGGGCAGAGAAATTACACTGTTACTTTTTTGTAGTTACTGGCTTTGTTGTTTTAACTTGGAAATTAAGACAGCATGTATCCTACCACTAAAAGCAGACCTTGTGCCAGCAGATTCTTGTGTACCAGTTTGACAACCTGGGACCTAGATGACTTTGAAATTTGATTTCTTCTCTGTTTCCAAAATTTGTCTTTGAGGCAACTTGTGTCAACTCAATATTTACTCGTTTGCATGTTTAACGTATTATGAAACTCTTTCCGTGACTCTTTCACACAATGAGATGCCAGTGCTATTCTGTGAAATAATTTTCATGCTCTCAGCGTCATAACACAACAACAAAACTACCTTTCTGGAGGAGTAAAGTTACAAAGCAGTTGGGTACAAACCCTAAGCAGCAAAACATGCAGCGTGACCATGCCAGAATAGAAACTGGCATGGTCAGTAGCTTCCTTAATTTATGGATCCTTATAAATGGGCTATGAATAAGTAGATCAGATGATTATTTTCCATCCACAGTTTAGATTTTCTGGCATTTATATCTATCTGCCTTTTTTCTACAATGGAAAAATGAATAAAACAACCACCAGAAAACAAAAAGTCTGAATGTCTGATGTTAAGAAATATGACATTCTGGGACTTTTCTTTCTTATATCTCTTAAGTTACGTGATTCAAACATTCACAGGTTATGTCATAGACTAAACATTAATTTGATAAGCAAACCATGGAGGGGGCAGAGTAAACTCACTCAGTGTCTTCCTTCAGGTTTGGATGCATGTATTCAGGGACACGACTGCCAGCATATCTGCATCAACAATGGTGTTTCTTACAACTGCAAGTGTCGAGTAGGATACATACTAAATTCAGACCAGAAAACATGTTCACGTAAGTTTTTCTGTGTTCAAAGCACACCGTTCTCACACTTCAAGTTGTTTGGTTATAGATGATCTCTTGGAGTTACACTTTTCCTGAATAAACAGTCTGGCTTGGTCTTCCCTACAACTGTTGGAGTGTTCATGGAAATTTACCTGACTCTCAATATAGGGCTTTGTTAACACAATTCCAAGGCAGGAAAAAAATCTGCCCATTTATACAAGGAAGAGCTGCAAGGCCATGTCCAAACAATTTAATGACCATCATTCAACTGTGGGAAAGATGAACTCATTACAATCTACTAAGGAGTTTGTACCTTACTGAATTAACCCCTACTGTTGGTTTGCAATGTTCAAAGAAGTTACACAAAAGAGCTGAGCTTTATCTCAAATTCTATTTAGAATGATCATGTTAAAGGTGCAGTATGTAACTTTAAAAAAAAGTAGTCAGTAGGCCCTTCCCTGAGGTCCTACTGACATCTGCAGAAATACACAACTGAGTCAGAAACTTATTGCTGTCAATTACTCACAGAAGCATTGTTGCAATGACCTGTTGGAGGTGGAATGTTGAAAAGGGACAGAGGTCCAATATTAAGGTGTCAGATTACAAAGTCAAATTTAATGTTTGCATTTTTATAACCTCTGAAGGTAACATAGACACTTGTTTGTGCTATAAAATAGCAACATGTGCCCTTTTTGAGAGAGTTGTACATAAACGAAGGTCTGCAAATCTAAAAAATCTGAAGAAATGTTGAAGAAAAGAAGAAATCCTTACTCAACAATCTAAGGAAGTGATAAAACCTTACAGGTTTTACAGAAAGACCTAACTTCAAACAGAAACTTTGCAGTTCATTGTAGTCTTAACATTTTTGCACCATGTACTTGATTTCAGTTATTATTAATCCATTAGTTGAAAATTTACTACTGGCTTTATTACAAAAAGGGTCAATAGCTGTGTTTTTTACCTGCAGGAATGGCTCCAAAACTATTTGCGTTTAACTCATTTCTGCACCTTTACATTAAAATGTGTGTTTTGTTTATAACTACATAAAGATCAGAAATTGATAAAACAGTATGTTTAATTGTTCTGCACAGTTTATAGACAAGGGTTCTGTAGGAAAACGTTTAACTATTAAAATGTTAGTTTCTTTGCATTGTTAGTAACATGTTGCTGGATGTCTTTTCATGTTGTGTGTTTTAAGGTGGACCTCATTAAGTAAGCATGTTAAGGTTGTAATTGGTTACACTTTTTAACATTTTAGAAAAACTAATAATCTTTGTCTTAAACTACTGAGCCACCTTATATGAAATAACACTTTCAGTTTCATCTAACATTGATCTCTGATTCCAATATCAATTTTTTACCTGCTATGTCATATACTCAGCATACGACGATCAAAAATTTCTTCTGCCCCTGTCAGACATGTGTTTTTATTGTTTCAGAGGAAATGAGGAGTGAAATTTCAGAAGATGCCTGCATGTGCGAAGCTCAAATTGTATTCCAGAAAAAAGTGCAGTCAGCCATTCAGGAGCTTACCAGGAAAAATATCCTTTTCTGAGTCCATATATTTAGATTTCATTTTACAACTTAGATTGGTTTTAAAGACAACAATCTTTCAGATCAGTTTATATTATACAATATTTTACATTAAATTTGTACTTTTTTCCATAAAATATTTACATTTCCTTGACTGTTTGTTCACTTTCTGAACTTTCAGACAAAGTAAACGACATTGAAGGCACATTCCAACATTGAGAACAAAGAGGAGCTAGAGGAAAAATCTCAGCACTTTTATTCCACTGTTACAGAATATCATGTTCCGTAAAAATTTAAATTTCCTAATGTCTGAAAATCTGCAGTGTGTTTTTAATGTTACAACAAATTGCTCTGGTGCTGTGTTTTTGATAAACTTACATTGATGACAACTCTGGTGTAATTGCCCACATTTAAAAAAAGACAACTCAACAGGACTGTGTTTATGTCTTCTTGTATAAACCAATTAAACGTTATATAATTTGCTTTGATTCCTTAAAACAGGTCAAGTTTTTTTTTTTTTTTGATTTAGCAAACAAAAAAATTGTTGAACTCCCTGGTGAAATAGTTTAGGGAGTTTAAATGTGACTCAGACTTGGCCCAGTTTTCTTGGCAACAATGCTTTTAATTAGAGATTATGTTAAGCTAAAGGTTTTTGAGAATGTATTTTCTATAAACAGTTATTTTATTTTATTTTCTGTCTTTGTGTGTCTACATTTGAATAATGCATTTTGGTGCTTTTTGAAATAGAAAACAGTTATTTGCATGTTTTCTAATGGGAACGGCTGCATAAATGAATACATTTTATGAATCAATGTTTTCCACACAGCTGTCTTGACTCTTTTAAAAGCAAAGTCTTTATATTACTGCTGATACTTATTGCTACTTTCCTATCTGATCAAAAGTGATGACATCATTAACAAAGTTAGGATATTTTCATGAATACATGTTTTATGTGACAGGTGTATTGTTATTTGAGAGCCACATTGCTTCAAATAAGCAATATTGTGCTGATTCAAACTATAAATTACATTGCATTTTACTGGGATTTTGTTTATTAGCCCAACACAAAACAGTGAAATGGAAAGATGGTAATACATGGCTTTTATTGTCTTACAGCTGGCAAGCTGAAAAGTGTAAAATGCACTGTGACCCTTTCCTCTGATAACCTAAAATAAAATCAGGTGCAATCAACTGCCTTTGGTTTTCACTTAACAGTAAATGGTGTGTAATTTCATATCAGAATAAATGTGTGAAGGCTCCAGAGGTTTGCTAGAGAACACAAGTGATCAAACAGGATCAAGACAAAGTAACAGTGCAGTTTGACCAGAGATAATGTACTGTCACTGGAAGCGTGATTGTTATAAAACAATATTTAAACATTTGAACATTGACGTTGTACTGTCCATCACCTGAAAACAGAGTATGATTTGAGGGCAACCCTGACATGACATGATCACCTAGACTGACGAGGAAATAATCAGAAAAGTATCCAAGAACTCTGTGGTTGGTTTGGAGGAGCTCCAGAATTATAGAGCTCAAGTGGTGGAATCTGTTGATAGGACAAGAACTATCCATGCACTCTACAAATAACTATCATGGAGGAGTAGCAAGAAGAAATTCCTAATTATAAAAGAGCTCTAAAAATTATTATTTGCAGCTTTACGCGACACAGAAGTTATGTGGCACATGGAGCTCCAGACGGCCTTCTGAGAAATGCAATGTTTGACAGACAACTCATGTGAAGACATGGTAGTGGCAGCCTCATACTACGGGAATGCCTTCATTAAGCAGCGACAAGCAAGCTGATCAGATCGGAAGATACAGTGACACACAGGAAAATCCTAGAGAGAAAAAGTGCCGGAGCCTGAAGATGAGGCTTGGGTGAGGTTTATCTTCCAGCCGGAAAACAACTCCAAACATACAGCTTGAGAAATAATGAACTGGTTTCGACCAGTGAATTTTATGCGTTAGAATAACCTGGTCAAAGTCTAGAGCTAAATGACAACTAAGTGAGAGACTGGGGTTGTTCACACACGTTCTCCATTAATTCTGAGTAAGCTTGAGCTATTTTTTGCACAACATTTTAGTTGCACAAAACTGGTAGAAGCATACAACAAAAGACTTGCACCTATTTCATAAAAAGGTGTTTAAAGAATTTACATTTACTAAGAGGAACTTTGAAAAACATGTTTATTCTCCTCTTACTTATCAATGCACCACTTTGTGTTTGTGTAGCACATAAAATTCCCCAAAATTACATTGTAATTTGGAGTTGCACCTCACAAAGAAACAAAAAAATTCAAAGTTGAGAATTTGGCTTTGCAATGTAAATTAATGGAAATTTGGCATCACTTATTTTTTAGGATTTTTCTTACTCAGATAAAATGCTATGCTAAAGTTTGTGTAATGCCTTGTGCTCATGAAAAAATTAGGTTTGCTTAATCTATGTGCAACAGTGCGCTTTAGACAATTACAAACCTTGGCATGTTTAAATTCTTTCATGCAAAACTAGACGCAAAAAATAACTTGCAGCACAGTGATTTTACTGAATTTTAGACAAATTAACTTTAAAACAAGTCTTAATTATGATGCTTTAATGCTTTTTCCTTTTGTTTTTCCTTTTTCGGGATGAATAGATGGAAATTTCATAATTAGTCAAGGTATTGCAAAGCCTAATCCCATTTAGAACAACAAGCAAACGAGCAAGACTTTTCGGCGATTAGGTCGAAAAGTTCCTACCGCAGCACTTTAACGAGAAAAACTACAACTACCAGTAGCACGAAATTCTTGATGCTTCCGGTCTATGGTTACCATGGGAGACGTTTGGAATCTGAAGCCGTTGATGGTTCCAGTCTGTCAACAAAAGCAGTAAAACTTCGTCTGTGAACCGTTTTGAAACGCTGTACCCATCGTTACTTCTTATAACAAAAGAGCGGCTTTACTGTGTACAGTTAGAAAAAACAAAATGTGTTTCCTTTTGTTTTCGTAGGTATTTAAAGCTAACCTAGCTAAGCTAACGGTGTGGGCTACAGTAAAAACGACGCATTCAAACAGGCCACGCGACTAATTTTAGCTCGTTTTAAGAGTTACATTTCCTCACCGAGACATTTATTGTATATTCGTATGTTAAAGTCAGAGTTAATATTATCCCGCAACCACCATGTTCATTTACCTCAGCAAAAAGGTGAGCAGTTAAACCACTGACCAGTATGTGTCATATTGAAAACAACTTCCCTCTTACGTCCCTGTGTCCTGTAGATCGCTATTCCCAACAACATTCATCTGAAATGCCTGTCCTGGAACAAACACCAAGGGTTCATTGCATGTGGCGGAGAAGATGGTCTGCTCAGAGTGTTGAAGCTTGAAACACAGACAGGTAAGTTGAAAGTTTAAAACTGGAGTTCGGTTTCTTTACAGCTTTACTTGCTTTGTGTTGTGATAAAACAATAACAACAACAACAAAAACCTCCGTAATAAACAAAACAAAGATACAAGCAAATCAGCTGTAAAACATTTCCTAGAGGGGAGAGATTAAATAGCAATTCAAATGTGAAGCAGTTATTAATAAAAAAAAAAAAGGGATGGAAGTATTGCAGAAAATATGGGGAAAGTATCAGAAAAGAAGAACATTTCACAAAATACCAGAGGGTCAAGGAGTATAAGGAAGATATCAGAAGAGATGACATTACTATAAAATACTATGAATTGTATCTGTTTCTGTTATGGGGAGAAAGAAGAAGAAGAACAACAACAACTGTAAATATCTTCTAATGCAATGCAACATGAAAGAGAAAGAATGACATGACATGGTACACAAGGCAATTAGAGAATAGTCATTGATGAAAACAGCTAAAGAGCAGTAAATACAACTAGAAACACTATTTTGTTATCAAGGGGGAAAATAGCTGTTATGGAGAATTTAGTTTGATGATAAGATAATGTTTCACACTGGTGTACTATACATGTTATGACACAAGACATGTAACAGACACAGCAAACCCCTGAAAGGAGGTCCTTTGGTCTGATGAGAATAAAGATGTACCTTTTGGCCCAGAAGCAAAAAGCTGAAATCTAGCAACTTGAACTCAACCTGATAGTACAAAATAAAATTATTTTTCTGCTTAAGAAAAATAGATGCTTTTCTTAAGCAGGGACAGGGAAGCTGGACAGGGAAAACATCTGGAGACCTTATAACAAAAACCTCACAAAAAACTGAAATATTTGGAAGTGTATAGTACATACAGAATTTCACTTTATACAAAAAGTAAAATAGTTGAAGAGGTATGAATATTTTTGAAGATCACTTATAGAAAAAAATAAAGTAGAGCGAGTTTGTTTTATATCGACGTCATTACCTAATAATGCACAAGTTTGTTTTGCTGAATCCGAAAAACCTCAACCTTCAGTTAAATACCTGTTGTAATTGTAGTAAGGATTAATGTTCTGTATGTGTCAGAGTGTATTTATGAAATGTTACATAACATTTGTGTGACTGAGATTATGGGGGAAATAAAACAATAGCCATTACAGTTTAAATGAAATCTGCTGAAACTTTAATAGGCTTACCACAGGTCTCCCAATGTTCAGTCTCTACAAGCACAAGTGGTACCACTCTATCGGTGGGACAGGCCTTCGGTTGTTCTGTAAATGATAAACATACTAGAAAATTGATCAAAACTGTTGCTTTTAAACATCCATAAAGCTAATATCTACATTGAGTGTACTTAATTGTAGGTAATTATATCCCCATTTTGTTCTGCATTCTCATAATAAATTGGGCAAGTATTAACTTCACAGTCACATTAGATTTTTGAATATTGTGATCACAAGAAGGCAGTAATACATGTTTCCCTGATACTGTACAACTCACAATAAATAATAAATCATCTCATTAATGGTTTTACTGTCTTTTAGACGACAATAGACTGAAAGGTCTTGCTGCCCCCAGCAACCTGTCCATGAATCAGACTTTGGAAGGACACGGTGGTGAGTATTGTGCTCAGCATTATATTGCATGATTGTTCCTGCATGAAGTGAAATTAATTTACACGCTAAAAGAAATGCTCCCTTACAATTTTTTTGTGGGGTGATATTTATACTTTTTGACTACATCCAGCATCATAGTATAACAGAATAAGTTACGTCTGACTCAGTAGTAGCACATATTGCAAAGAAATATCTTTCTTCTTAAGATGTACGGCCAATAGGGTTTGATCCTTACGTTTGTTTTAGTCCAGCACTCTATTCTAAAATATATTTTTGAAATGCATATGTAATTGCTTTATGTGTTTTCTTTTCTTTTTTTTATTATTTGTTTTTATGTTGGTAGTTGGTATGTTTATGTTTTTATATTCATACCAATTGTAGTATCCAAGCAAAAATGAGTAAAATAAAAATGATCTCCCTTTTCATACTTGAAACACCTTCAGGTGCAGTGCAGGTAGTGACCTGGAATGAACGGAATGAAAAATTGACAACCAGTGACCAGAATGGACTCATTATTGTGTGGATGCTGTACAAAGGTGAGGACAGCAGCCAAAGTAAGATTTTGTTTGCTTTGTAGCGAATTTGTGTTGCTTAGTTGTCAGCCTTTGTTGTGTCCCAAGGTGCATGGTACGAGGAGATGATTAACAACAGGAACAAATCAGTAGTGAGGAGCATGAGCTGGAACGCTGACGGTCAGAAGATCTGCATTGTGTATGAAGACGGGGCTGTCATTGTTGGATCGGTGGATGGTACTGTTACTTTAAGTGAAAACAATACGTAGCATTAAGGCAGTAAAAGTTCACGTTTGGAAAGATTAAATTGTTTAATTTATTTTAACAAATTTATTCATTGCTTTATGAACACATGGATATAAACATCTTCAGTATGATTCTTGCATTTTGTATTCATTTGTAGGCAACCGGATCTGGGGAAAGGAGTTGAAAGGGAGTCAACTTGCTCATGTTGCTTGGTCTCCTGACAGTAAGATCCTGCTGTTCGGCATGGCCAACGGCGAAGTACATATTTATGACAATCAAGGAAACTTCATCGTGAGTGTGTGAACTTAAATGGAGTATATATTGTGAAACTCGGCCATGTTGAGCTGCACAACCTTCACTCTTTCATGTTGTCATGGAAGAACATTATTAAGTTACACATTCTTTTGGTTTGGTTATAAAAGATTGTGACAGTTGTACCTGAACCCA